AAACAGAGACATAGACATATGAATTAGAACAGAGAACCCAGATATAAAACCATCCTCATATTGCCATCTGTTTTTTGACAAAGCAGACCAAAACATACACCGAGGAAAAGAATCTCTATTCAATAAATGGTGCTGGAAAAATTGGATAGCCACATCTAGAAAACTGAAACAGAATCCACATCTCTCACCACTCATAAAGGCTCATGAGGGCTAACAGACTTCAACTCAAGACATGAAACTATAAGAATTCTAGAAGAATATGTTGGAAAAACTCTTATAGATATCAGTCTATGAAAAGAATTTATGAAGAAGACCCCAAAGGCAATCACAGTAACAACAAAAATTAACAAATGGGACTTGATTAAATTAGAAAGATTCTGCACACAGCCAAGGAAACAATCATTAGAGCAAATAGACAATCTACAGAATGGGAGAAAATATTTGCATGCTATACATCTAATAAAGGGCTAAAAACTAGTATCTATAAATCAAACAATCCTGTAAAAGTGGGCAAAAGACATGAATAATTTCGTTTCTTGTCACACAAATAGGTTGTGGCCTACACTTAAGAAACTGCCTCATGTAGCTCTTGCGTCCAAATGTGAATATTCTTCTCAATTAGTGATCCTAGTTCAGAGTTTTACTATCATATAGCAGTGGTCTCCAACCTTTTTGGCCGGATTCATGGAAGACAATTTTCCCATGGACCAGTGGGGGGGATGGTTTGGAAATAATTCAAGTGCATTACATTTATTGTGCAGTTAAACCTCTCTAATGTTAATCTGTATTTGCAACAGCTCTCCAGTGCTAGCATCGTCACCTCAGCTCCACCTCAGATCATCAGGCATTAGATTCTCATAAGGAGCATGACCTAGATCCCTCTCACGAGCAGTTTACAGTAAGGTTCGTGCTCTTATGAGAATCTAATGCTCCCACTGATATGACAGGATGCAGCAATGTGAGTGATGGGGAGTGGCTGTAAATACAGAGGAAGCTTCGCTCTCTTGCCCGCCACTCACCTCCTGCTGTGTGGCCCAGTTAATAACAGGCCACGGACTGGTACTTGTCCTCGGCCTGGTGGATGGGGACCGCAGTCCTGTAGTGTTCACTTATCAGTTATCGAAAGGCAACTCATAAGAAGGAAGTTGCATTCTCTTAATGAAAAGAAACACATATGATACAACATATTGTTTCATTTTCGCTCTGCTCAGTGCTACTGGCCTGTCCTCTTGTCCAGCATCCTGACTAATAGAATGATCCCACAAGGAATTAAGAGCAAAGTGCTTGAGCGTCAGATTTTTCATGATGCCCTCCCTGCAGTGGTGATTGCAGCTGGTTTCCCTAATGCCTGTCGTAGTTTGAACTTAACCTTCTTGGCATAGATAAGAACCTGGAGAATTGCAGGCTTCTCATGTAGGGTATGGCTATCGATGTTTACTGATTCAAAACAGGAAACAGAAAACTTGTAGCCTTGCAAGGATGTGTGTGTAAATGTACAAAGGTATATAAGAGCCACGAAAAGAGAGAAAGAGAGAAACAATTGGCTCCAAGAAATAAGGTCACTTATAGGCAATGACTTTTAATACATTACATTGTCCAGTAAAGAAACACTGGACAATGGATATCAGCTTGTCATCAATTTTCCTATTAACCAAATTTCTCTTCTTCTCTTGGGAGAAAAAGGGTGGAAAGAATGATGGCAGCTGCCTCCCCAGATCATCCCCAAGGAAGGGTTATAAAGTATGGAAGGAAAGTATTGAAGGAAAGTCCCGAGCACCTATTGAGAGGTGAGAAAATTTGGTAGGAGTACCTATTTTATGACCCAAGAAAGAAATGTGGGGAAAGAGGATTCCTACTACACCTATCACCTAGCATTTTTAGGTGTGCTTTTGTGTGTGCCACAAAATCAAAGGAATACTGAATCTTTAACAAATCTAGAAAGACTAGTTATCACAACAAGTTAAAATACAGTACATTATGCCCTTATCGGGGGATATATCAGAATCTCCTACAGGTCAAAGATGGAATATATGTAGTTTGAAAAAACTCTCCTAGTAATTCTGATAGGCCCCTTAAGCTCTCCACCACCTTCTGCCCCTACACACACAAAGTGAGAATCATTGATCTCAAGCAAGAAGAGAAAAGTGCCAAAGTAACTACCTGGGGAATATCAGTATTTGAGATGTAAGCAAATGAAGATATAACTTGGAAATAGACCAAGAATCTTCTAGAAAATTGGAGGATTGCCAAAAGAGAGTGGACTTTTAAAAGTTAAAGGTGGACTGGTCCATAATATAATTAACACTTTTTTTAATGACAATGTGCCAGTTGTTTTGTATCTATTATCTCATTTGATCTTTCAAGAATTGCATGAAGCAAAACTGAAGATTAGAGATATTCAATAACTTGCTGGGATATAAATTCAAGTCTACATAATTCCAAAGCCTGTTTTCTTTCTCCATGCTGTTCTGTGAGGTCATTGGTGGTCTTGATGGGAGTGGTTTGGGTAGAATATTGGGTGCAGACACAAGAACGTTTTTTAAGTTGACACAATTAATAAAATTTAAGAGAGGACAGGCTGTGAGGACACCTGAAGTTTAATTATGACAAAAACTGAGAGTGACGGAAACAGATAGGGGAAGTGGTCTATCTTATGTTTTCTTATGTGTATAAGATGTTGGCCTTTTTTTTTTCTTTTTCTTTAAAGAGACAGGGTCTCACTCTGTTGTTGCCCAGGCTTGAGTGCAGTGACATGATCACAGCTCACTGTATCCTTGAACTCCTAGGCTCAAGCAATTATCCTGTCTCGGCCTCCCAAGGTGCTGGGATTACAGGCTTAAGCCCCCACGCCTGGTCAGGATGCAGTTTTATATAGTGATGAAGATCACATGCTTTTCCTCCATACTGCGTTTATTGAAATCTCAGACTGCTCATCAGCTGTGTTTTACTTAATCTTATCGTGCTTTTGAGTGCTTATCTCATAGGGCATTTGTGAGGCTAAAAAGGGAACTATTAAAGGGAAAGTGCTTAGTAAGCATTAGTTATTATTTTAAAAGTTTATATGCTGAGAGAAAGGAAGGAGTAAAGAGGAAAAGGTTGACAATGAAAAGGGATTCTCTCATACTTTTCTCAATGCCCTTTACTTTATATTACCAGGAGTATACCTGTGATTGAAAATTTGGATTTATTACATTGGGCAGCAAAAGAGAACACAAACTTTGAAAAGCTAAAAGGTATCTCAGTAAGAGGCTGTTTTTGCTTTTGTTAGGTGATTTAGGGGAGGGCCCTTTGCCCCTCCAAGGAAGTGGGGTCTTTGCTTTGGATTGGATATTTTTAGGAAGTGAAAGTAAGTCTATAAAGATATTTGGATATCTAAATAGATTTTTATTTAGGAGAAAAGTCCAGATCCAGGATAACAATATACTTTGTAAAGAAGCAGCAATCACTCCCATTAGCCAGGATAGATGAATGTTTGGTCACTTTTTGTGCATTGGACAATGTTCACGTTTTTGTCTGTGTTCAAATATGATTATTGGATGGTCTTGTTTTTCTTGATCCATCACAGTCACAGAGTGGCCTTGTCTGATGTTCTGTGAAATTTTAGTTTCAACAGGACACCAAGGCCTGGTTGTTTTAGTCTTAGATTTGGCCTCTCTCCATTATGGGGTTCACAGACCAAGTGGCTCTTGACATTAACTAATAATTGAAAGGTTGACATATTGCATAATGTCTTAGAGGATTTAAAATTTCAAGGCGTAGTAGGTAGATTGCATTTTAAAATATATTATAAATTTTTAATGTACTACTCATGTTGTGCCCACCAAAAAGTTAATTTTAATCTCTCAATGTAGTTTTCTTTTTCACTCCAAAGCAAATTTCACTCCCAGAAAATTTCATCTTTAATTTTATTCAAGATATTTATGACCAGAAAACCTTTTAGAGCGAGTGCTCATCTAAAATTGAAATAGTTTGTACTAAGAAAAAAATTAACAAAACAAGCCAGGTTGGATATTGCAGTTCAAATACTAAAGCAGTTCAAATACTGAAGTCATATTATCTTTTACTTTAATGCTGGGTTAGTATGCACAGACAAAATAACATGTAGGATATTTAAGAGCTTCTGCATACAATATAACTCTTTTTTTTGTTCCTAGACTTAGAAATAACCACAGTTGACCCTTACAACAACATGAATTTGAACTGCGTGGGTCCACTTATGCATGGATTTTCTTTCTCCTCTGTTGGTCCTGAGATAGCAAGACCAACCCTTCCTCTTCCTCCTCCTCCTCAGCCTACTCAACATGAAGACAATGATGATGAAGACCTTTATAATGATCCATTTCTACTAAATGAACAGTAAATATATTTTCTCTTCCTTATGACTTTCTTAATAATGTTTTCTTTGCTCTAGCTTCCTTTATTGTAAGAATATAGTATATAATACATATAATGTACAAAACATGTGTTAATTTGCTGTTTATGTTATTAATGAGACTTCTGGTCAACAGTTGGCTATTGGTCATTAAGTTTAGGGGGAGTGAAAAGTTATATGCAGATTTTCAACTGCACTGGGTGGAGGGGTTGATGCCCTAACTCCCGTTTTGTTCAAGGGTCATCTGTACTTGATATAGGCTTAAGTTTCCTCTTTTTACCTTTCCAAATACATCTTTAATAATGCTAAATTATAAGACCACTTATTTCAGGTAATTTTTTCAGTTATAATTTACCTATGTTTTTTGAGCGTTTACTGTAGGAAACACATGCTAGATGCTGATGGCAAATTTCATATTTCATACTTAAAATTGATTCAAAAGCACTTTTTGGTTTTGGGTCCCTTGCTTCAGTTACAGAGATATAAGAAGAAATACACAGACATTATTTGAAAATATTTCTTTGACAACAAAGCAGTAAATCTTCAACTGTTGTTGAAGGGCAATCAGGAATCAGTTGACAGTTTTTTCCTAGTCGTTTTTGAGTTCTTAAGAGCCTATTTTAAAATGTTGCAATGCTCATACTTTGCATTTCTTAACTTTTCTTCCAAAGATATTAAAAGAAGACAAAAATGCCACAGAGATTTTTACGCCTTTCTGGAAGAGACTCCTGGCAATGGGATGCTGATGCTTTGGAGAGAGTAAGAGTCGTCAGTTGAGACGTAGGCAGCCCGTCAGCGGAGAGCTCAGAGGAAGGTTTCAGCCAGCAGAAACCAAGGGGTTCCCAGTTCCCCTGACAGCCAATGTGCCCCTCAGCAAATGCTCTCTGAAGAGAGTTTTATATTCTTGAAGCATGTTTCAAGCACAAAATATGGTAGTTTAAAAAGGAGCAGTGTTGGAAATCAAATTGTAAAATAATCTCACTCAGTAATTTTTTCTTGGAATCAGAGAATTTCTGAAATAGAAGAGATATCATTATTATTGTAATAAAAATAATATTTATTGAATGTTCACCTTGTTTCATGTATATATTCCTCATTGAATTTTAGCCCTTGTTACCCAAATTTCAGAGTGGAAGAATTTTAAAAAAAGGTTAAATAAAACGCCATATTTAAAAAAATAAAATAAAAAGAGAGAGAGAGAGATTGTAAATGATGGAGCCAGGGTTAGAAACCAGGTCTGTTTAACTCCAAAGCCTATGGTGTTGATCATCATAATAATAAAGTTTAATAGTTTTGAGTGCCTATTATATGCCAGGCATTGTTCTAATGCCTCTATATATTGTATTATTTAATCCTCACAACAACTCTGTGAGCTAGATATTCTTCCATAGGCACCTAGAACTTGAGTAACTAAACTGACAGTCATACAACTAGTAAGCAGCTTGTGATTATGTCACTCTGTTTGGTTGAATAACAAAGTTGGCTTATATAAAGCAAATATTAGTAGATCTGAAAGGAGGAATAGACAGCAATACAAAAATAATAAATGACTTCAATACCCCACTTTCAACAATGGATAGATCATCTAGGTAGAAAATCAATAAGGAATCGTTGGGATGGTACTACACTTTAGACCAAATGGACCTAGCAGATATATACAACATTGCATCCAACAGCAGCAGAATATATTAATGCATTCTTATCAAGTACATATGAAAAATTTTCCAAGAAAAATCATATATTATGCTGAAGGCACCTGAGACCCCCACCCCTCATGGAAGACATGCATCAGCATAACACTGAACCTATTACCTGGTGCATCAACTACCCTATTACCTGGTGCATCAATATAATACTAACCTATTAACTGGAGGGCATTAGCAACCAGATACCCCACCCTTCCGACTACCCCAACTTAATAAAAGTGGGAAAAATCAGGTAGACAGGACTCAGAATTTGGTGGGGAGACCATTCTGAGCCCACTGGCAAATAAACTTTGATTCTCTGACTCTCCGACTCTCTGTGTGCCACTCAGTTTGTCCTTGGGACCACTTGCTGTGACACTTGCTCTAACAATGCCACAAGTCAACAAATTTAAGAAGATTGAAATCATATCAAGTATCTTTTCTGATCACAATGGTATGGAAATAGAAATCAAGGACAGGAGGAAAACTAGAAAATTAATAAATGTGTGGAAATTAAATAACACATTTCTGAACAATCAGTAGGTCAAGAAAGAAATCAAAAGGGAAATTTTAAAAATCTCTTGAACAAATGAAAATGGAAACACAAAATACCAAAACTTATGAGATGTAACCAAAATAGTTCTAAGAGGGAAGTTTATAGTGATAAATGCCTACGTAAAGAAAAAAGAAAGACCTCAAATAAACATCCTAACTTTATACCTCGAGGAACTTGAAAAAGAAGAACAAGCTAAGCCCAAAGTTAGTAGAAGAAAGGAAATAACAAAGATCAAAGCAGAAAGAAATGAGATAGAGACTAGAAAAACAATAGAAAAAATTGACACTGAGTTGGTTTTTTGAAAAGATAAACAAAATCAGCAAACCTTTAGCTTGACTGAGAAAAAAAGAAATCTCAAATAAATAGAATCAGAACTGTGAGAATTCCTAACACCACAGAAATACAAAAGATCATAACAGATTACTATGAGCAGTTATATCATAAAATATTGGATAACCCAGAAGAAAGGGATGAATTTTTGGAAACATACAACCTACCAAGACCAAATTCTTATATTAAAAATATTGTTATAAAAACTTTCAAAACACACAATAAGCCCAAAGATCTCAATAACCTTGAGTTAATAATTATCAAAGTTTCACCACATATGCTTCATCCATCCATATTTTTTTCTTTCCTATTGCTGAAGTATTTTAAAGCAAGTAATAGACATGTTATTCCATGCCTACATATGAATTTCTAAAATTATAGATATTTCTATGCATTAAGACATTATATTCTTTCCATTTGGAATATGCAAAGATGATTTAAAAAAATCATTTCTAAACTGCTTAAACCCCACACATGGAGAAGTTGTTCAACTTAAATAATTCTAAAAGTAGTAATATGGTTTCAAGAGTTTTATTAGTAGTTTTTAATACTGTTTTTCATCTCTAAGTGAATCAGCTGCTTAGAAATCTTCTCCCTCTGGCACTTATGGAGTACCCACTGAATCACTCCTTTTTTATAAGCTCAAATCACAAGAAGAAAATAGGATTTTTAGAGCTTTATATCATTTGTGAACAGCTTGCTTTTTCTTCTGAATGACTAACATGAGAGAAAACACTTTTAAATAGCTTGTGGCTCACCACAGGAAGTGTAGGGTATAAAGTTAATTGTGTAAAATAGTATACTTTTTTATAAGAAAAAGGGAACAAACAAAAAGAAACCCAATGAACTACTAAATTTCAAGATTTTAACTTCTAGGACCTATATTTTTCTCCCAGAAGGTTAGTTTTGGGCATTTTCTTAATTTTTACAAATTTGTTTTGATCTTTTTTGCTGATGTATCATATCCTTTCATTGTAAAAATAGATGCCTATGGTACGGAAGAATTTAAATGAACAAAAAAATAAGAGAGATAAAAATCACCCACGAATACCAACACCTAGAAATAACTAACCAATGTCAATGTTATATAGATAGATATAAATAATACTGTTTTCATACTTTAACATCATATTATGCATACTTTAACATCATAATAGTATGCAAAACATACTATTTTAATTTATACTTGTATCGTGATATTGTCTAATGATTTGTAAATTTTGTGGATAATTTCTTAAAATAGCTTTATTGAGCTATAAGTCACATACCATGCAATTCACTCATTTAAAGTGTGCAATCCAATGATTCTTAGTATATGCCCAAATATGTGCGACCACCACCCCTGTCAATTTAAGAACATTTCACTACCTCACTAAGAAACTCTGGATCCTTTATTTACCATCCCCTATTCACCCAGCTCAATCTCTGTCTGCCCTTCAACCACCAAACAACTACTTCTCTGCTTGGTCTTTTGTGACTGGCTTCTTTCATTTGGTGTAATGTTTTCAAGAACCATCCGTGGTGTAGCACGTATCAGAACTTCATTCCTTCTTGTGGAATGAAGGATAATATTCTTGAATAATATTCCATTGTATGGATATACAACATTTTGTTTATCCATTCATCAGGGATGACATCCATAATGTTTGTTCATGAGTGCCCTTACATTTATATCCTTGCATTTCTTGTATTATCTTTTTTACTTAATATTAGAGTTTTGAAAGAAAAATTGCTTGAGTTCTTTCAAGGCTTTTAACGCAAATTGTCAAGTCTTCTCAATTTTATAGAAGAAAACTAGCATTGCCACTGCTTGTTCAATTTGTATTTCTTTGATTACTTGAGAAGATAAGCAATTTTTAATGTTCTTTAGTTAATATTCTGTAAATTTTAGGGTATTTTGTCTAATTTTATTTTGTGATGCCAATTTTTTTCTTTATTGGTTGCGAACACTCATTACAGAATAAGGACCACTCCTTTGTACACAGGTTGTTTTTACTCTATGTGCAAATCTGACTCATTCTTCACTTCTCAGCTTGTCACTTCCACCAGCAACCACCCCCACCTCTCAGTTCTGGTTAAGTGCCCCCTACTCTGTACTGCTTTGCATCCTTACATAATAAGTGCTTAATTGACCTTTTTGCCTGTTAGGCTGTAAGCAGAACTGAAGAGTACCCAAATAGGATCATGCAGGTTTCTTGCCCAGAATCATGTTTGAGGCCAGCCAGTGGAGCCTGAAATCCAGCCCTTCTTAATTCCACAATCCGCAACCAACAGGGGGCGCATTTTTCTCCAGTTCCCACAGAGGTACTCTGTGGATAGTGGCAGCCATGGGCACTGAATGTCTGTTTACCATTGAATCTTCAATTCAATTTGGTGTGGGCCAAAATTTAATACATGTCTGTTGAAGAAAAGAAAGAGGGAGAAAAGGAAAAAAAAAAGAAAGGATGTTAACCTTCTACCCATCATATATTTTGCAAATATATTCCCTCTGTCCTTTGCCAAACACATTTTAAGTGTATTTTTATGTACAGAATTTAAACATTTTGATTCAACTCAATGTAATAATCTTCTTTCTGGTGGACTTATAAGACATTTGTGCTAAGAAAAAGTACTTTCACATTTTCATTTTTTACATATAGTCCTATAATCCATTGGGAATTTATTGTGATGTTTATTCTAATATGAGAAATAAACCTGATACTCGCTTTCAATAATTTGTGAGTTTCTTCAGTACTATTTGCTTAATAATCTTTTTATTTCCTGTTGACTCATGACACTAAACTCTGTTTTAGATCTGTCAATTCTAGTTCATTGTCTAATAATATTTGCAACAATTGTCTGTCCTATTATATTATTTTTGAGAAAGAATCTCGCTTTGTCACCTGGGTTACAGTGCAGTGGTGTCATTATATCAGGTTTTAGCTGAAACTGTCGGTTCTTGGCCCGCTCGTGGCCCAGGAATGAGCAGACACGCCAAAGTTAGGCAAGCATGAAAATGAGGTTTATTGAGGAGAGAAAGATAGGATTGTAGGGCAAGAGCAAGATACAGGTTTACAGAGCACGGTATATACGCCACAGATAATGACCAGACCCCTTGTCGCAGCAAAGAGAATGGAAGGAAAGGCGCAAAACAGAGCTTGGTTATGGTCTGCTGTCTTATATTATGGTTCCTGAATAGGGACCTCTCTCATGGTTCAGAGGTCACCATGGAACTACTTTGATTGGACAGTTGGGAGTCACATGACCTGATCCTTCACTATGCATGTGGGTTCTAGGTCACTGTCCAGACTTTATGGTACCCATGCTGCTTGGCCTGTGGGCTACAGGGTCCTCTGTATTCTTTTGCAGCTGGCGTGCCAAGTTCTGATTGGCAGATTCATAGGGTATTCCCTCCTCCCAGGTATGGAGAATTAGGATGGGGCAGGACCAAGATGGGGGCCTCAGCACCCACTTTTGTCCCCAGGAGACTCAGAATCCCTCACTATCTACCCAATAATTATAGCTCACAGCAACCTCAAACTCCTGGGCTCAAGCGATCCTCCTGCCTCAGCCTCCCGAGTAGCTGAGACTACAGGCACACACCACCACGCCAGAATAATTTTTCTATTTTGTAGAGACAGGGTCTTGTTTTTGCTCTGAATGGTCTTGAACTCCTGGCCTCAAGTGATCCACCCACCTCAGCCTCCCAGAGTGCTAGGAATACAGGCATGAGCTGCTGCACCAAGCCCTTCTATTATTTTTATGATATAGTATACTTTAATGTCTAGTAGAGTAGATCTTCTCCACTAAGTTTCTTTTTCAAAATTTTCTTAGGTTTTCTCACAAATATGTTTCTCTAGATGAACCTTAGAAACATCAAACATGTTTATTACCATGAATAATAATAAAACCACTGCCATTTTGATTGGGATAATATTAAATTTATAAATTAATTTGGGATGAATTGATATTTTTATAAATCTTTATCACATTTAAGTTTTTCATCCAGAAATGTGTACTATTCACCTATTTAAACCTCATAATGCATTTTAGGAATTTAAGGGTGTTTTCTCTGTGTGTGTGTTTAATAGACTCTAACATATTTCTTGTTAGGGCAATCCCTAGGGTTTTTGGCATTTATTATTTTGTTGTTCTTTATGTAAACTCTTTTTTCCTGTTATACTTACAAACTCTTTATTGTTTTTATATTGCAAACTATTATTTTAACATAAAGCTTATATTCTACCAGTTTATTAAATTCTCTTACTAATTCTAAAATTTGTGTAATCTCTCTTAGGTTTCCTTTTCTCGTACATACATCAGTTGGAAATAATGAGGCTCTTTCAAATAGCTACTGTTTTGTCTCTGTTTGTCTTATACTCTATCCAGAATTTCCAAAAGAAAGCTAAGTAACAATAGCTGTTTGCCTTATTAGACATTGAAACATGTTCCTGGTGGCAAATTGTAAGAGAATCTGATTCCCTTGAGAGCAGAGGTCATGCATCTTTCTTTCTTTATAAAAAATCTTCAACACCTATCATAATACATAGGTACAGGATAAAAATTTATTTTGTCAATAAGTTTGTTTAAGTGAATAAGAATGTCTCTAAGTTTTTCCCCATTAATTATGATCCATGTTTAGGGTATATCTTCTTATTCACAAATTTATGAGTTTGGTTTTTTAAGTAATGCTTTCTAATTACAAGAATAGAAATTACCAGTACCTATTGGTTATACCAGTACTGATTAGTAATTTTCTAGAAAATTATTCTCAAAAATATGGATAACCTATACTTTCTTTTTTAGGATAAATTTTACAGTAGAAATTTATGCCAATAAAGAGAAATCTAGTAAGTGCTTATTCATACAAATATACCGTGTTCATGATGTATTCAGTCTTCAAATATATAATCTATACTAATATGGAGGTAAAGAATTGTATGTCTTAGTCAAGTGACATAGGTATATAAACTGTTTTTTGGGGGGACTATGCTAGGTTTAATAATGATAATAAGAATCATTTTGGGCATATTTGAAGACATTTTACTAGATTTATTACCAATGTTACATTTTCTTTTCTTTTCTCTCTCTTTTTTTGTTTTAGAGATGGGGGTCTCACTTTTGTGCTGGCCTCCAGTGATCCTCTGTCTCAGTTTCTGAAGTAGCTGGGAATACAGGCACGTGCCACCATGCCTGGCTGATTTTTATTTTAAAACCTTTTTTAGAGATGTGGTCTTGCTATGTTGCCCAGGCTGGTCTTGGACTCTTGGCCTCAAGCAATCCTCCCTGCCTCAACCTCCTTAGTAGCTGGTACTATGAAACAGGTAGGAGCCATGCCCCCAGCCAATGTTACTTTCGTTATTGTTAATTTCATCAAAGGAATGTGATGAATACATTTTGAGATTTTAAAATATTTTTAAATGTCATCATTAAATCCATTTATGTATAACTGCCCTCAATAGATTCATAATCTTTCAGGTAAATAGTAATCTCCAAATCTATCCATTTTAACCAACTGTGGTTGAGAATTGTGACTAGCATATTATTTTGTGATCTCTTTTGTTACATCCTTAGTCTCCAATAGGATATTTGTTGAGTTTGGTTTAATCTGAAGCTCTGCATTCAGCTACAGAGAGAAAGCTCCTTTTTAATATAACTCAGATGCAAATAATGTTCTAATATTGTTGTTTATTTCCTTACAGCATTTATCTCTAAAAAGTCTCACTTGACAATCTCTTTTCTTACGTTTTCATAAACTTCTGGCTTCTAGTTGCTTTGCCTAGGGGTTTTAAAGCCTATGACTTTGTCAGACTGAAAGATTTTTACCTTTCTTCCTTGCTTATTAAGGTAGGAGGCCGTGATGGTACAATTTCCTGAAACTTTTGCTTTAAATGGATCTTACAAACAGAGAGTCACAGTGGAGCAATGAGTAACTGTGGTTTAAAACTTTGCTTCTCCTGTATCAAACAACATGCTGCATCATGAAATGTTCAGTCTTGTCTCTTACCTGGCGGATGGCCGGGGTGTGCGATGGCTCCTACCTCACTGACATAATTGAAATCAAAGAGTTGCCAAGGTACGGCAGCAACCCCAGCAAACCTGTGAACTTACTGGCCTTGGAGGACTGTGGATGGAAACACATAAACTGTCTCTGGCCATGTAGGCTGCCTTGCCCCCTCACAGAAGACTGTATCAGGTGGTAGTTGGTATAAGAAACCATTGTGTGTATTAATTTTGTCATGAGGACCTAGTGGTCAGCACCCCTGGACGTTACAGAGGGAAAAATATGATACAGTATTTATAAACTCTTTAGCAGTCCATATCATGGATCCCACATAGAATTCACTCAAGCTGAAAAAGTTCAAACATTACAAAGGATTAAATAAATTATCAAGCTAAGTGAATCCAAAAGTACATCACCGTCTAAACTAACTTTATTCCCTAGGTGGCTGTGAGATTATCCATAATCTTTTTTTCAATTAGCTTCATGCCTCTCAGGAATCCGATAAACAGTTTGAGATATATTTTTTTAATCCATTGCTTGCTCCTAAATATTTGTAACTTTCTTTATATGCTAAGCTACAATTCTGTTGCACACTATGACTATAAAACCCAGGATAATAATGATAATAGTTTGTTCATCTGACTGCTTTGGACAGGTAGAAAATTCACTGGCCTCTTTCCAGCTTTTGGAAATGGAAAGTTTTAGCTTTTGGTTAAAACAACACTCCTTGCATTTGAACTAGTGACTATAATGTTAATGTTTAAGCTGTCTTTAATTTTCCAAATGGTGTTGACATAGTTGAGAGTTTTTTTAAAAAAAATACAACCATATCCAGTTTTTACTTTAGGGGGCTTAATTTATCCTACCCTGAGTAAACCACCTGTCAGTGCTGAGCCCCAAGTTGCCTGGGCCTGTGTAGTTCTGGGTGCATTATAAGTCTTCTGTCTAATCTAGCAAATCATCCAATCTGGTTAATTTTTGAATGCAGGCTCATTTTTAGAATAGAAATATTAAAATCTGATAATATAACCCTAAAGTGAAAGTAGAAGTAAATTTCCCCTTCCTTATTTTACACAGAAGTGGACTTAAACTGCTGCAATCGTGGGGATGTTTGAAATTGCAACAAAGGAAGCAAAACAGAGCTAAATGAATCCTGTGCAATGAGGAGGCATTTTCAGGTAGTACCCAGATTAGAAACTGCCCTTTTCTGGCTAAAAACATGTGTGACTCATACAACCCCTCTCACTGCTTACTGAATAGCACAACTCTGAGAAAAGTGGAGATACTAGCTGGCAAATTTACAAATCAGAGATGGTTTCCTGCTGAATCAATGGCTATAGCCAAAATGTATGCAAAAAGCAATGGAAGAATGAAAATCTCTTTGAAGACTGATGAAAACTTGTACTAGATATGAA